AAATTCTTTCTCCCGGACGAGCCCCCAATTCTGTTATGGGTCAGAATAACCCTAAATGCCAGCAAAGATCAATAATACAATTTAAACTTAACAATAATTTATTTACAGTAATATATCATAAGTATATGAAACATAAAGTACAAACTTAGCAAGAATCTAAAAAATACATGCATCAGAGTGTCCGTTGCTGCACACAATGTCCCAGTGAAATTATATCCCAGTAATACCTCAATGATGCTTATACGACAAAAGTATATCTATGCATCGAATTGACAGGGTATTTATACAGTATCATAAATCTAGAATTTTCTAGAAGTTGTTAAAACATGATATTACTGGAACAATCTGGACATACACAAAATTCAGGAATGTTCTAGAAACAATGACCGAACATATTGACCACTCTGGAATGTTCAAGAAACTTAATATTACTAATAATATACATGATGAAACAATACAAATACAACACACCTCACAACAATATGTTGGGCGTGGAGATCGGTCCTTCGCATGAGACCGTATAAACCGAGGTCCCGTGTTGCAGGAAGTGCTGGCACGAAAAAGATCCCTCCCTGCTCAATGACTCTGAGTGCCGAGTATAGGACAAAATTTGTAGCTCTTCATCGATAAGTGGTGGCGTTTCCATACGAGTGAAAAATTCTCGATCGAAAGGGACGTTAAACAACATATAATCAATCATCTCGTTGATTCGATACGCAAGAGCATGCTCTACATATAAACAATTTCTAAAAAGATGCAAATTTTTGACAAGCAAGTTGATGAAACATATGATGAAAAACATGATACAAGAATATGAGCAGTCTCGTTAAAAGTCGTCATTTGGTAAGTTCTATGGTCGATACAATAACCTTAACTTTAAGTCAAATGCTGACTAAGTTTTTCATACTAATTATTATGTATTATGCCTTTATTTACGCACTGAATTGTCAACGGATTTTCAGATCATGGCCAGGATCACACGGCGGGTGAGACCGGTTGGCAGGGGATGCTCACTCCTCCATGACACCTGATCCCATCTCCGATGTTTTAGAAGTCTGTGTTTGCCCTGCTCCTGATTTGGTTTGTTTAATGGACTTTTCAGCCTGAATACTGTTCTTTATCTCCATTTATTTCATTTTTTAAAGAAAGGGTTAAGTGTTTTAGGAATATATTAAAGAATAGCAAAAAAATTTTGTTTGCTTGTTGTTTAATATAAAAAAGTCACTCTCGCGAATTTTTCACCCGTATGAAGACGTCACCACTTGCCGCTGGAGGGCTGCAAATTTAGTCTTATACTCAACTTGCACACTCAGAGTCATCGAGTTGAGAGGGATTTTTTTTGTTCCAGAACCTACTGCGACACGGGACATTGATTTATACCCGTCGGTCTGATCCATTGGACGAGTCTTTGCGTCCTGCAGTGAGAAATATTAAGATCAACTCCTTACTCCGCAACTCAAACCACTGCTTCATGGCCATCCAGGCGTAGTAATTCGAGATTGGATATTAGGCACTTGTGCGAACCATTTTATATCTGTCCCTTTTTTTACTAAATAAGAGGCAATATAAAAGAAATGAGATCTCGTTGCGAGCAACGAGTAGGTCTTCCGTTGAATTTCTCGATAAGATGAGATGTGATTTTGACTGAGATAATCGTTTAAAGAGAATGACATGAAGTTTTTCTTCATTCAATTTAAAATTTATGATTTTTATCACGATATTCTGAGTATCTTAAAATTGTTCAATATTGCTTATAAAAATACTCCCCTTTTTCTACACGTAAAACATAAAAAATGTAGCATTTTGGCCCCTTCCGACCCCTAATTACATAACATATGATCCAAATTTTATCATATATTGGTACAAATCGTTAAGAGGAATACTTTTGCCCCATTAATGTACAACAAAATACTGATCATTTGAGAGTTATAGATAAAAAGACTTGGCCCCTCTGAGCCCCTAATTTGAGGGGTCAGCCCTTTTTTGTGATACCAAATGAAAGGTCTTGTGATTTCAAAAACTTTTTGTTCAACACCTATTCAAGACTTCTTTTCGTTGTGGAGATATGCTCAATGACATTATTTAGGGGCCACTCCTACAAGCCCTAAATGGGGCCGTTTTTCAAAAATTCAAAGCATGCATACTGTTAAGAACATTATTCTGACCAACTTTTGTTCAATATTGCTTATCAAAATATTCCCTCTTTTCAAGTTATGAAGTGTCAAAGATTTGACATTCTGGCCCCTAGTGACCCCTAATTACGTAACATATGATCCAAATTTTATCATACACTGTTGCAAATCGTTAAGATGAATACTTTTGCTTCAGAAATGTATTACGTTACAAAATATTGATCATTAGGGAGTTATAGATAAAAGACTTTTGGCCCCTCTGAGCCCCTAATTTGAGGGGTCAGCCCCTTTTCCTAATAACAAATGAAAGGTCTTGTGATTTTAAAGATTTTTTGTTCAACACTTATTCAGAGATTTCTTTTCGTTGTGGAGATATGCTGAATGGAAATATTTAGGGGCCATCCTCAAGGTCTTTAATGGGACCGTTTTACAAAAATTCAAAGTACGTATATTGTTGAGAACATTTTTCTGACCAACTTTCGTTAAATATTGCTTATCAAAATATTACTCCTTTTTGAGATATAAAGCGTCAAAGATTTGACATTCTGGCCCCTTGTGACCCCTTATTACGCTAGATTTGCTTAAAAGTTTATAAAATATTGTTGCAAATGGTCTAAAATTAAAAAATATAGAAAAATCGAGCAGAAAAAGTGATAAATTTTTTTGGACACACGGGGGATTGAACCCGGGTCGCCTGCGTGACAATCCAACGCGCTAATCATTTAGCCATTGGAAGCACCGCTTCGAGTTTTTAAATGCAAATATCTCGAGATTGGCTATTCCGATTTTCAAACAAAATACATATTTTGCTTCTGCAAAAAAGTTTTCATTCAAATCAAAAACAAAAATATTAAAAAACAAAAATTGAAAAATTTGAAAAAATTGCGTTTTTTAAATTCGCTTCCGGTTGCAACCGGAAGTATTGACGACGCACAAAAAGATGTTTGTGCCACGCTATAAGTCAAGAACTATCATCTCCTATAAGTCTCCACTTCATATCTCAAACAGTTTTCGCTACTAAGTCAAGACAAAATTGCATTTTAAAATCAGAAAATTGGCCATATCTTAAAACCGGAAGTGACATCATAAAAATGCTTAAAAACCTATCAAGATCGATTAATTAACTATTACATATGAAAATTTCATGTAAATCGGCCGAGCCGTTCCTGAGAAATCGCGTGCACAAAATCGGTTGGAATAATAATAATAATAGGGAAAAAGAAACCGAACGAAAACGGAAACGCAAGACCTTAATAATGATAATATTAATAATAACATTTGTATAGCGCCCTATTTAGAATAAATTATAGGCGCTGAACAAACAGTATTTCCGATATACAAGTAGTTAAATACAACACAATAATCATAAAAACATAAAACCTAAAATCATTGTACGAGATCGTTACTAACATAAGAATAAGCTAAAATTATAAGCTGCTAGACTAAGATCAACTTGAGATCAACTTAAAAAAATTTCACACAATACAGGTTGTGCCCAAATAAATAGTCTGAGGACAATAAAACTCGATAACTTGTTCATAATAAAAAATTACACGTCGTATGCTATCTTAAAAAGATGAGTCTTAAGATCTCGCTTAAAAGCTAAAAGTGACGTCTGGAACCGGAGAGCATCCGGTAAACCATTCCACGAAGTTGCTGCTGCATGGTCAAAACGACGCGTTCCGTATGTCTTCGTGCGAACACGAGGTTTCACAAGTTGTTTAGAGTCATACGAGCGTAGAGTTCTTGACGGTTTATCGACTGTTATGAGTTCCTTTAGGTATGATGGTGATGTCCCCTGGAGTACTTTGAAAGTGTATAAAAGGATCTTATAATATGTTCCAAATTTAACTGGAAGCCAGTGAAGAGATATCAGGACTTCGGAGATATGATCATGCTTCTTAGTTCGGGTGACAATCCTTGCTGCCGTATTTTGTACTCTCTGTAGCCGTGATATATTTGTCTCTGTAATTCCATAGAGTAATGCATTTCCATAATCAAGTCTTGATGTAACTAGAGCGACAATTGGAGTCTTACAAGCATCTTCTGTTATGAATGGACGAATTCGACTAATATTTCGTAGGTGGTAAAAACAGGATTTGGACACTGCGCTAATCTGATTCTCCATGGTAAGTGATTTGTTGAAAAACACTCCCAAATTCTTCACACAATCTGATTTACAGATGACAGAACCATCAAAATCAAGTTGGTGTGTAAAAGATCTTTTAAGCTGACTCTTTGGTGTAAAAACAATAAACTCAGTTTTATCCTGGTTCAATTTTAGTAGATTTGCGCACATCCAACTTCTCACCGTGGCTAAACAAGTTTCTAATCGACTTTTTTAGTCTGGCCATGTTTCGCTCTGTTTTATAACAAAGTATATTTGTGTGTCATCTGCATAACAGTGGAACAGCATGCCATGATCACGACAAATTTTACCGATAGGTTTCGAGAAAAGGCAATACAAGACTGGTCCAAGCACTGAGCCTTGTGGTACTCCGCAAAACAAGATCTTCGGAAGCACTCCCACCAATGACTATTCTTTGTGTGCGCTGTGTCAGGTAGGATTCGATCCATTCCAGAGCTGCCCCAGAAATCCCAAAAGAGAACCTGAGACGTCTGAGTAAGATGGTATGGTCGATCACATCAAACGCAGCAGACAAGTCTAGCATCATTAGGGCCATACAGGAATTTTTATCAAGCGCCGATAAAATGTCATGATGGACTCGGAGGAGTGCCGTCTCTGTAGAGTAGCATGCTCGATATGCTGACTCCAGTGGTTCCTGTAGATTGTTCATTTCCAGATGATGCTTTAGTCTTTTTGACACTACATTTTCGAGTATTTCTGAAATAAATGGTAAATTGGAAACTGGTCTATAATTTTTCAGTTCTTTACAGTCAAGTTCCGGTTTCTTCAGAATAGGGCGAATTATAGCCTCTTTGAAGGTTGTCGGTTCTGAAGATCCAGATAATGATTTGTTTATTATCACTGTTATTAAGGGAAGCAACTCTTCAATGCATGGTTTAAGTAAAGATGTTGGGATTGGGTCATTCTCACAAGACTTAGTTGGTGCTCCCATGATGACATAGATCTCCTTATTTGTAGCTTCAAAGAAATCAACAAGTTTCTGACCCACATATTGAATATCACTCTTCAGTGCCTCGCTAACATTAACTTGCTTAGATTTACTAAGTTCCGATCTGATCGTTTCAAATTTTCCAGTAAAAAACTCACAAAATCTATTTGCTAACATCTCTTTGCTGTCATGTGCTGGAAAGACAGTCTTCTTAACCTTCCCCATGAGATTGTTAGTTAGGTTACTAGTTAAATAGTTGTTTTTGGTCATGTGCAGTTTCTTATATCTTTGTAGAGTAGAAATCGTCCTGCGATTGCAGCAGCAGTTTTGAATAATCGGTACACAATTGTCTGTAGATTTGCTTGTGTATCGTTAAGTCAGTTTCACGCATTTTCCGCTCTGCTTTTCTACGAGCCTGCTTGGCTGCTTTTAAGTTGGCGTTATACCATGGTGTTTCTGGTCTTATGATTATTTCTTTTGTCTGAACAGGTGCATGGCTGTCAAGGATACATTTAAGACTGGTGTTATATGTCATCACTAGTTCATCAATCTGCATGTCCATGTTTTGCTGACTGACTGATGAAGAAATGTCTTTCTTAAATTCATCAATGTTCATCTCACTTAACTTCCTGAAAGACACAGTTTTTCGTTCAGGCTTTGGTTTAGAGATTTGTATCAGAGCATGAACAGTATAATGGTCTCCTGCAGGATTTCCTCTGTTATCACACAAAACTGGGTCACTGATCGTCGGATCAGATAGAAGAATGGAACTGTCCTCCCTAGTAATCATGACATCCAAGGTATGACCATGGACATGAGTCGCACCTTGCACTCTTTGGCAAAGTCCATGATCATTTAATATTTTCATGAACGTCTTTGAATCAGAGTCACTGGGACGATCAATATGGAAGTTTAGGTCACCAAGTAATATAAGGTCCTCCAAAAGAATAATCCGATTGTCAAGATATTTTGACCATTCCTCAAAGAAGGTCGAATTTCGAAAATTATTTCCTGTTGATGGGGGAGGGCGATAAATAGCACACAAACGAGAAATTACACAGTTTGGCATCCCTATGACACAATCCATTTGTTCGAAATGGGTGTACTGGGTTTCTGGTTTGATAGGTCGTATATCAATGTTTCGTTTGTGGATAATAGCTAGTCCGCCCCCCTTCTTATGTTTTCTAGGTAGGTGAGTAGTTGAATAGCCAACCGGTGTCATTTCTGCTATAACACATTTATCTGTATCGCTATCAAGCCAAGTTTCAGTCAAAACAAGAATATCAATGTTAAAACTTAACTTAAAAATTCTGCATCCACGAAATCAAATACCCGTGAACAAAGAGTTTTTCCTCAAGCCATGAAAATTTGACACCTTGAAAATATGGGATTTTACAGTATATCTTAAACATCATGAGTAATATCAGGTGTCACTTAGACAGTGCGATTAGAAGAAATACGTACATCTTAAACATCATAAGTAATTCAGGTGTCACTAAGACAATACAATAAGAAGAAATACGTACATCTTGTACATCATAAGTAATACCAGGTGTCACTAAAACAATACAGTCAGAAGAATTACGTACATCTTAAACATCATGAGTAATTCAGGTGTCACTAAGACAATACAATCAGAAGAAATACGTACATCTTAAACATTATAAGTAATACCAGGTGTCACTAAGACAATACAATCAGAAGAGATACGTACATCTTAAACATCATGAGTAATTCAGGTGTCACTAAGACAATACAATCAGAAAAAATACGTACATCTTAAACATTATAAGTAATACCAGGTGTCACTAAGACAATACAATCAGAAAAAATACGTACATCTTAAACATTATAAGTAATACCAGGTGTCACTAAGACAATACAATCAGAAGAGATACGTACATCTTAAACATCATGAGTAATATCAGATGTCACTAAGACAATACAATCAGAAGAAATACGTACATCTTAAATATCATAAGTTATGTCAGGTGTCACTAAGGCAATACAATCAGAAGAAATACGTATCTTAAAGATCATGGATTATATCAGGTGTCACTAACACAATACAATCAGAAGAAATACGTACATCTTAAACATCATACGTTATATAAGGTGTCACTAAAACAATACCATCAGGAAAAATACGTACATCATAAGTTATGTCAGGTGTTACTAGGACAATACAATCAGAAGAAATACGTACATCTTAAACATCATAAGTGATATCAGGTTTCACCACAGGATGGAAATCCACCATTCAGTCGACTGAATGGTAACTGAATGCCCACTGAATGGTCACTGAAAGGTCAATGAAAAGACCCTTTACCGTGACCTTTCCGTGATCATTCAGTTACCATTCAGTCGACTGAATGGCACATACATTTCAGTTACCTTTCAGTTAACATTATGTTGCATCTTTTATATTGAATAATCGGCTTATTTTTTAACTTAAAAATTTTACTTTACTTTTACCTGGTATAATAGCATTAGATTTTATGCAATTCCAAATAAAAAATGGAAAAATAATTAATACAAGAAAAAAAATTGTGCACAAGGCCAGAATTGAACCCGGGTCTACTTCTTCAATGTCCGCGACCTTATCAATTACGCTACTACTTTTTGTTGAGAAATAAGGATTTAAAATCAATTAATTTTTAGAAATCGATGGAACAATCCGTTCACCTGTTGTATCAAGGAGCTGCGATGTGTATATATCTTGTATATCTTTTTTATATTGTCCCCCGCTTGAAAAGTGAGGGATATTAATTTGGGTCTGTCCGTCCGTCCGTCCGTCTTTTTTGTCTGTCTGTAATGCTTTCGTTTCCACACGATATCTCGAGAACCCTTTGAGCTTTCGCAATGAAATTTTGTGGACTAAAGAAGAACCCTATTGATTTTGAGGTCAAAAGATCAAAGGTCAACGTCATAAATTCGCAAATTCTGTCTGCTATAACTTTTTCGTTTCCGCGCAATATCTCTAGAACCCTTTGAACTTTTACAATAACATTTTACATATGAACTCCCTGTGGCCTAAGGAAGACCCCTATTGATTTTGAGGTCAATAGGTCAGAGTTCAAGGTCTTAAATTTATACATTCTGTCTGTGTGTAACACTATCCTTTCTGGGCGATAATTCAAGGAGATTTTGAGCTTTTTCAATGTAATTTTATACCAAAACTCCTAGGGCTTCTCTCATCTCTCTCAAAGTGTCCCGCCCCGTTTGTTTTATTAGTATTTATTTATTACATGTCGTTATTTTTAGTACAGGGGCATGAGGAGAGTTATTACGTATAAAACAGGTTCTCGGTGGACTTTATATTCTTATTACATCTATTAGAACTGTTTAATAAAGTTTAAATTAGACACCATAAATTGTGTAAAATTTTGACAAAATCGAAGGTGAATATATACATGTATATGTGACTCTTTCTTTGCATATAATTTTCGTTCATTTCAAGCGATTCCGTGGTGTAGAGGTATGTCTCTCGCTTGACATATGAAAGGTCCCGGGTTCGAATCCCGGACGATTTATTTTCTTTTTTATTTTAAGAAATACTTTATTTTACTGAATGATAGTATTCAGCATGTGAAATGAAAAATTTATGACGCCTGGCTTGCACAAACTCATAAAATCATCATTACAGTGAGATCAATATTCCATATAAAAAAGAATCCTCTATACACATAATAAAGAATAAACAATCGAATCTTTTTATCCATTTTGGCATATTTTATTTTCTTCAGTATACATGTATACATTTAATAATTCTACAAATTCAGTCAGGAGGATCCGACCCTCCCCCCCCCCCTCCACCGAACTGCGCATGATTAACTTTTTCCCTAGCGGGGGACACAAATTCTCTGAATTAGCTTGTTCTCTGTTACTTGCGCCGATTTAGGGGACAGACTGATTAATTACACATCTCCTATCGGGATGATGACAATAATCAGCAACGGGCACCTGTTCCTGTGTCAGAGATTTGAGATCATTGTAAATTCTCTATCTAGAAACTTAATTAGTAGAATAATTTTAAAACAGTATCATTTAAAAAGCTAAAAATCTACAATATCTAGTTTTTTTTTTACAATAGGCATGTATAAATGATTTATTCTATTCATGTAAAAAGATTTTAAAATGATGTCTTCCGAAAGCTAAAATAATTATCCTGCGTTATTGACAATTAAGAAACGAAATTTATAATATAAGCGTTCTTCCGGAAAAGGTGTAAATAATAAAAATTCTGTCTCATCATTTAAAACTAAATATTTCCATGAAAAATACACGTATAAGCACTACAGAATGTGTTATGCGGCATTTATTTAAATTTTGATTCGACTATCGGATCATCATTTTTTATCACTTGAAGAATTATTGTTTTCTAAATCTGATTAGAAAATTAAAAATAATTTTGAATTAGTATCATTTATTTTTATAAAATTATAATAATTATTTAGACATATTTTAAGGTACCCGAATTTAATTACGATAAGAAAAAAAGACACAATTAAGATTGAATAATAAATCTTTAATTCAAAATATTGCTTCCAGAAAAATATCTGATTATTAATTAATTAGCTAGTGAAAAAATCGCTAAATTGAGACCTAAATGTACTGAAAGGTGACGGAAAGGTAACTGAAAGACGACAGAATGGTCACTGAAAGTCGACAGAAAGGTCACTGGAAGTACGGAAAGGTAACTGAAAGTTGATGGAAAGGTGTCCGCTGAATGATGACTGAAAGGTACCTGAAATGTGACTGAAAGGCAACTGAAAGGTCACTGAAATGTATGTACCATTCAGTGGCTGAATGGCCACTGAAAATTCACTGAAAGCCGCCTTTCAGTTTTAACTGAAAGGTCTTGTTTCTTCCTGTGCACTAAGACAATACAATCCGGATTGTAACAAAAATGGACATGTAACACATTAGACGTGATATTGAGTGCCATGTAGGAATGAACATCACTAGCTTCTGTTTTTATAACGATTAATGTCCATCAAGGTTTCGTTCATTTCTTCAGCTTGAATGTGGCAACAGAAATATGAGATCTGAGACACATTCTTAATTCTAATAAGGTTGAGTCTCCTTCTTCATCATATTTGACCTTGCCTATCGATAGACACAGATGCGGAGTCTGTCAGTTTGAATATTTATTTGTTTTGATAAAAATCTTTATTTCTGTATAGTCAGGAACTCTGACAAATATGTTTACAATCACGTTGTAT